ACCAAGAAAACTATCACAGTTGCGGCTAAATGGCGCACTCGAGTATCCTTTTTCTCTCAAGGTATGATAGCAAGAACTCGAATCATACGTCTCTTTTAAAAAATGTCTAGAGACTCGATCTTAAATTTATTGAGGAAGAGTGTAGGTAGATTGTAGGTATTCTTAGTGCCTATAGTGCACGCGCCTACTAATTATTGGTCCATGCCTTGAATTAAAAAAGAATGCTCTCGAGTATGTGGTGAAAAGGCCATTAAGAATTTTGCTCTAGCGTAAACAAAAAGATTAAGCCCTTTTTGTGAATTCCATGCTCAAATCGGCCATCATCACCTATAGTTTTTTAATTACTTTTTCGACCCCCTTTTATAGCATTGTATTTATTTCAGTTCAATTGATTGAAAAAGATGTATTATTTCTAATTTTCTAGTAAAAGCATTTTGGAAATGTGATGCGGGTGAAAGTCGAGGATGTCCTATTGAACACATGGTTAACAAAATTTTGGACAGATTCCATCCAAAGGTCGTTGCGTTGAATATCTAGTCAAAGGTTAGGGATGCTGGCACCAAAAAATAAAGGTTGATGGTCAATTTGTACTTTCTTACAATTATAGTCACTTAAGTTTTTAACTGTTACACTAATGATCACTTCACTTGACTAAAATAATTAACTATATGACACCGTTAATTGTCTACATATCACCAAATCACACTATATCTTACGCCAAATTAACAAAATTTAGAAGTTAGAAATTGAGGATTAAAACGTTCAAATGAGAAATTGTAATGGCGATTTTAGTTTTGATAAGATTTTGATAGTTGACACTACGACTTTAGAACAAGGTGCGAACGTTGGTCACTGGTTGTGACTTAATAAATGCTCGATCAAAATTTAAGTTGTCACGTTGAATCTCTACGGAAGTATCGAACTTATGTAGAGCGCAAATAATCGTGTCTCGTGATTTAATACCACGTGGATATAGGATCATTCCATTTTTGAGTTTGAATGTTTCATACTCCGTGAGCCATTGAATAGATCGAGTTATAAAGATGAGTTTCCTATTCCCTCATGACTAAGATAAGTCATCTAGTGATGAAGTGAAAATTAAATAATCCAAACTATCATCGTTCAATTTTTTTTATATTGCTCGACTTTTCATGGGCAATCTGAATGCACAATTACGATGTGAATAACAGTGTGACCTTATTGAATAAATTTTCATGTTTTAATCCAAACTAATATTTTTGGTTCTACATTATAATTATATTTTTCTATACATAAACTATTTATGCACGTGATAATTTAACAATTTAAAAAAAAAAAAANGAAGAGGAGGAATATAATAGAAATGATTTAGGTTTTGTTTGGGATTAGAGTTATGTTTTAATATATTACCTGATTTTTTATTAAACGAACTTTGCACCTGATTTTTAAAAAGTAAACTTTAAACCCCTGATTTTTTATAATTTCCCTAAACGTATTGGGACTTAAAGGCCCGCAGAGTCGGGCTATGTTATTTGGGCCTAGAATGGACAGGCCACATAACGATATGTTCTGGGCATCGGCCCAGCCCAATATGGCCTAGAATCAACACCTACGCGATCGCATCACCAAGTCAAATCCTCACACCCACCACAAAAACCAATTTCAAAGATCAAAATGCAAAATCAAAAACAAAATTTGAGATGGTGGAACAGATTTCAATTTGATTTAAGATTTTGTTTTCAGATCTCAAATTTGAAATGGGGTTATGGTCCCTAGCGGTTGAAAAAGGAGGTGGTGGGGGCGACAGGTTGGTGGTGGTAAAAGGTGACGGCGGCAAGTGCGGTGGTAGCTATCGGATTGCTTCAAATACTTGGCAACAGATTGCTTGGATTTAGCTACCGTGGAGGTTATATCGGAGAACGGAGATGAAGGACTCACCGGTAACTCGTCGCCTGACTCACTTTTCTCTCACTTCGGATGGCGGCGGCGGCTATGAATGGTGGTGGTGGGTTTTGGAAGGTTTTATCCTTTCATTTAGAAAAACAGTATTATCTAAATACATCTTACTAATGAACTTGAGGGTTGCTCAATCGGTTTGGCTTTGTGTTTGTTCTTAACCAGTTCGAGTCCCTTAGGGTTGAGTATTCGGCCGGAAATTGCAGAGTGCGTGAAAATAGTCGAGTTGCACGCAAGTTGGCCGAATATCCACGATTATAGAAAAAAAAAATACATCTCACTAATAAGGGAATCCTATGTCATATATGTCTCTCTCATCATATAAATTTAACAGGCCTCTAAATTTTTTTGGCTGCATCTAGATCCTTGGACATATTCAAAAAGTGCAGTACACCCAAAATTATTATAGAAATTTGGATGAACTCTTTGATATAGTTTTGGAAATTAGATATTATTGTAGTTGGGTGTGTTAAGTGAATATACAACACAATTAAATAAATCCATTCCTAGATTACTCTCCATAATTTGATTTGCATTCTGATTGGTGTATCAATTACCATTATGTTGAAGAAAAGTGATTTTACTGTACAATATACGCAAAAATAAATAAATAAATAAAATAAAAATGGACTTAGTCAAAGTAGGTGCCATGTCAAAGTTTGAATTACACTTTTCCGATTTTGATTATTCTAAGTTTTAATCTGATATATGTGCATGTTCGAATCACAATTTTTCCAAATTTTGATAAACACAATCCTGTTTATCTAAGAAAAGTTCAAGCCTGTCAAAGAATAGTTGGTGTAGGTGTAGCAGTTTTTTTTGTTTTTCCTCCTAATTTTTTTTTTTGTTATTTGATCATTTACTCAGATTTCTTGATTTCATATAGCCTATCTGAGCTTAAAATGTTCCTGCATATGGTCTGCTTGCTTTCACTGGCAGTAGCGCTCCCCTCAAATGCCGCCACCTCCCGTAAGCCTGGCTGCGAAAGTACATGTGGAAACCTACAAGTTCCATATCCATTCGGCGTTGGAATTGGGTCGAATTGTTCTATGAGCTCAGACTTCGATATTTACTGCAATACTACTTACAACCCTCCAAAGGCCTATCTTACCCGTGCTGCTTCTCCCTTTGAGGTTGTAAATATTTCAGAAACTAAAATTTACGTTAAGAACTGGAGGCAACAGCAGATTGTGGCATGTTATGCGAGAAAAAACTTGGGAGAGTATGTTTCGTTAGAAATAGACTACTTTGCTAATAGTCCATATACCTTGTCTGATGCAAATCAACTCACAGTCTTTGGTTGTGATGACTTGGCTATTGGACAGCATTTATCAAACGATTCGAACGTGGGTGGTACCTATGGTGCAGGTACTTCTTGTGCGCCCTACTGTGAGAGCCCGGTAGTTTCTGGTGGTATGGGATCTTGTCCTGGTGATGGCTGTTGCCAGACCTCCTTATCCAAGGGTAAAAAATTTATGATGATTCGCCTAATCAACATGGAGAATAATTGGCAGCGTCGCAAACTTTTCTCATGCAGCTTTCTATCCCTTGGAATGATGAACATAAATGGTTTCACTTTCCGTTTATCTGACCTCAATGATTCAACATTTCTAAATAAGTATCCAGCATTAACGGATATACCATTAGTCTTGGACTGGAAGATTGGATCACAAAATTGCTCCGAAATGCAGAATTCTAGTAGTTATGCATGCAAAGAGAATAGTTATTGTGTTGATTCTGATGCTGGTGTTCAAGGATATCATTGTAAGTGCAGGGAAGGATACGATGGCACCCCTTACCTTAGCCCTGGATGCCTTGGTCAGTTTTACTATTACTACTCTTATTTAATTAAAATCGTATTTATTGTGCTCAGTGTAACCAATCTAACAATCGTTTGTTGTGATGCTTGATATGGTGCCAGATATTAATGAATGCCATAATTCTCCTTCTCCATGCGACTCAAATGGGAGATGCGTCAATACACCAGGATCCTATATTTGTTCATGTCCCAATGGTTATTATGGCGATGGAAGGAAAGAAGGTACCGGTTGTATTCGGATGCCAGGATCCAATAGCAAAGTGGCAATAGGTAATTTTCAATTAATTTTTATGCATGCTAAATCTTCATTTTAAGTGGGGTTTAGTGCTTTTCTCTAGAGGAAGGGACTCCAAATCTATCAAATTCTTTGTTTGGATAACATATTGCAAAATGATTAATCTCGCGCGCGCGTGTATAAACACATTATCTTCATGTTTTGGCACTTTAGCCTCTGTATGAGAAGAATTTATTAACGTTTAATTAATAAATACATAGAAATATGTGTTGGATTAGTGGATCTATTGAAATGTGTTAACTGATTTATAATTGTTTTTCAAATGGAGGCCTAATTACGTCATGACTTTTCAGATAGATTGATATGCACTTTTTGGTCGTATCTGTTAGGATATAGTTATCCATATATAAAAACTTCTATATTAATTGAAATATTTAGCATTAATGTTGATTTAATTACAAACTACTTGAAAATTGTTAATCATGTAAATATCATGTTTTAAAACTTCAGGGGCAAGCTTGGGTGCAGGAATGGGATTTCTACTACTATTATTGGCTTGTTTTTGGTTGCTCAAATTTCTAAAAAAGAGGAAGAACAAAAAGCAGAAAGATGAATTTTTCAAACGAAATGGTGGCCTTTTATTACAGCAACAAATATCAAAACATGAAGATATACTTGAGAAAACAAGACTTTTTACTGCTAAAGACTTGGATATGGCCACTGATCACTTCAATGAAAGCCGAATACTTGGCCAAGGAGGGCAAGGGACAGTTTATAAAGGTATGTTATCTGATGGAAAACTTGTAGCAGTAAAGAAATCTAAGTTGGTAGATGAAAACCAAGTGGAGCAGTTCATTAATGAGGTTGTCATACTCTCAGAAATCAATCAAAGGAATGTAGTAAAGCTATTGGGATGTTGTTTAGAAACAGAAGTTCCTTTGCTAGTTTATGAGTTCATTTCAAATGGAACCCTTTTCGAACTTATCCATGATGATAGTGCTGAGTTCCCATTTTCATGGAACATGCGCTTGAAAATTGCAGTAGAAGTAGCAGGAGCACTTGCCTATCTCCACTATGCAACTTCCGTTCCAATCTATCACAGAGACATCAAGTCTAGCAACATACTTTTGGATGAAAAGTATGTAGCAAAAGTTTCAGATTTTGGAACATCAAGATCAATTGAACTGGATAAAACTCATCTAACTACCCTAGTGAAAGGCACGTTTGGATATCTTGATCCTGAGTACTTCCAGTCAAGTCAATTTACAGAGAAGAGTGATGTATATAGCTTTGGAGTGGTTCTTGTCGAGCTTTTGACGGGAAAAAGACCAATATCTTCAGATAGAACAGAAGAGGAAAGGAGTTTAGCTACTAGATTTTTATTGTGCATGGAAAGAAACGATCTTGAAGCAATTCTTGACGCCCAAGTTTTAGAGCAAGGTAAAAGAGAAGAATTGACCGCTGTTGCAAAAGTTGCACAAAGGTGCTTAAATTTGAATGGGAAAAACAGGCCAACTATGAAAGAAGTAGCCATGGAGTTGGAGGGTATTAAAATGTCTCAAACGCTTTCGACATCTGTAGAAACAACATTCGAAGGAGTAAGGCTTCTCAATGCAAAATCAGTAATGCTCCCGGATGCTGATTACACATGGACAAGTGCTTCTGAGAGCACCTTCACAACATCTGACATCTCTCCTTTTATGACCAAAACATTTTGATTTTACACAGCATTTATAGGTAACAACAGGTAGATCTTTCCATGGTAATATGTAGGCATTTATAAAACCATTGTAGCTCTAATAAGCATGCAGTTTGTGACTTTTAATGGTTTCTATGTCACGAGGTAGCAGATCTTTCAGATTATGTGATCTTTCTAAACTATTTCCTCATTTGCTGCAAAGTTAAATTTTATTTATTCTTTAATGTAAGTTCATTTCCACATCAAATTAACTAAAATTAATTTGATGTGGAAATGAACTAAATTAACTAAATTCTTGGAATAAAAATTAGAATTTGTAGTTTTTAAAATGTAGTGAACAAATAATTATTACAACTACAATGCGGAAACATAAAATCTCAAAATGTAAAATCAAACCAATAGACTCAAAGCTTCTTCAACACCACTAATCGAGTGTCATATGATGTTGAACTCAGATTTTTGCCACATCGGATCATGTATCGTCGTCCACAGGAATGACAATGAATATACCGAGAAATGAATCTGCCGAAAGCCACCAATAATTTTGTCGGAGATATGAACTTCTTCCACTTGGTTACCTCTCTATAATTTCTCTTTTGTTATGCCAAGTTCAAGTGAAACAAAGCGAACGAGTCTTTGTAATTAGAGAGCCAAAATACTATTTGAATTCAAATTCAAATATTATACTATGAAAGAGACATGGCTAGTAGGGTAATTGACCACAAGATTAAATCCAACCATTGGAGTTAACCTATAGTCCACAATACACATCAATTAACACAATCCTTTCAAAATGCTCAAGACAAATACTCGTGTCAAGTGGATTTAAGTGATCCACCTCACAGAATTTGATTGATTTGTTAAAATTGTTCTGATTATCAGACATATAGAAAGGGCAACCAATGAAAAGAACAAATTGTACAAAAATCCAATTGTTCCATCAAACCAACCACCACTAGAAAACTCTCAAATCACCATGTTAGATCAAAAACTCATCCACAACTGTTGGTGACCAACAGAAATGGGTTGGCCTTGGCCGGCTATGGCTAGTCCAAGCCTTGATCTCGAGTGTTGCCTGGTGATCATTCTCGTGATCTCGCGATGAGCCACTGATCCATCAGTAATATTTTTCTTCGACTCTCGCTTGACTTTCTTGACTTGGCTGTGAATTGGATGATCATAGCCTTCCTTATCTTCTTGTTCCTCCATTCGCATAGTTGTTAAATGCAGCAGCAGAACAAAGACCCTATTTGTCACGGATTTTGCCCTTCAAAGCTTCCACACCGTCCCGAATCCTCCCACGAGTATTTATACAAATTTGTGTGTATAAATAGGAGGGAGGGGAGAACAGAAAGTTGGTGGGTATGTGTAGTTTGGATTGGACTGACTTGAGACAACAATTTTGACAGTTTTAAGGAAATTCGACGTGTAATAAGTTAAGTCTGCTGAATTTTCAATTTGTCAACTGAATGGAGAACTTGATTTGATAAGAATTAGTCAAATAAGAGAATAACGCGGTGTGGATCCTTTCGTTTTGACCGCAAACCGAATGATGATGGAGTGCTTTGAATTTGAATTGAATTCATTAAGTTAGGTAGGTAGGTAGGTGCGTGTGTACACTTGTATAACAGTTATTCCATTAAAACTAGGTGGTCGGTCTTTTACGCTAATTTTAAGTAATTTAGAAAATGCTTTTGGATTACCAAAAAAAAAAAAAGAAATTGCTTTTGGCTTAAAATCATTTTATTCAAATGTGAACGTTTCAACGGTTAAACTAATGTCTACCATTAAAATGAACGTCCGGTGCGCATGTTTTTAGGTTATGAAACCCTGGGTGCCTAAAGTGAAAGGTTCGTGATCCAAGTGCTATTTACCCTTATTTTGAATTCAAATCAATTTTTTTTTTTTCATTAAACTCATGTCTTTCATTAAAACGAACATCTGGTGCACAATAGAGTTGTGATGAAAAAATATTTACAAGATAAAATCACACTCACATCTTTTCTAACCTCTCCTTCTCTCTCTTTTTGATGATTATAATAAAGCTTAAGGACGACTTGCTATTTAAAATATAAATTAGGGCAAAAATAGAATTTACAAAAATAAAAATTCTTAAATAGTTACTAATGAAATTTTGATCCGAGGTTCCGCCCCCCACATCCCCGAAAGGGGGCCTTTGCCCCTTTTTTAACCCTAACGTTGATTTTACCGTGGAGATCGATCCTGATCAGTTCCACAAAGATAATAATTATAATCGACAATAAGTAGACTCAATAATTTAAAACATTTCGCTCTTGGAGCAACACAACCTTCTCTTTTTTATGAACCAATAATAGAGTCAAATTTAAAAACATTAATATTTTCAAATGGAGTAATTAGCACATAATGTCTCCATATTTTATTGTTATTGTGGAAAACGTCCATACATTTCATTTTTTGACATTTTCACTTTTATTTTCACTTTCCATTGCGCAAAAGGTCTTTTTGATCTATTTTCTCCATTAAAAATTATGAAATGACGAATATACCCCTCTTTAAAGAAAACAAAAAGAAAAAGAAAAAAAAATCGCAACCACAGTCTCAATTTAAAAAAAAACTCAAATAAGTCACAAATAAATTATTAAAAGAGTAATTAGTACATAATGTCTCTATCTTTTACATTTATTGCGAAAAATATCCCTACATTTCATTTATTTTTTGACATTGTTCACTATTAATTAGACATTTGATTGTGTAAACCATCATTTCTATCCAATTTTATCCAATTTTTAAATAAAAAGTTGTGAAATGACTAATATACCCTCATAGTGGCTTTTTACTTAAATATGTTAGTATATTCGTAATTTTACAACTTTTTATTGAAAAATGGGATGAAATGAAATAGAAATAACGGTTTGCGCAATTAAATGTGTAATTAATAGTGAAAATGTCAAAAAATAAAATAAAAGGTAAAGACGTTTTTCGCAATAACGGTGAAAGATAGGGGTATTATGTACTAATTATCCTTTTAATAAATTATTTGTGACTTATTTGTGCTTTTTTAAAAAAAATTGGGACTGTAGTTACAATTAATTCTTTTTCTTTTTCTTTTATTTAAAGAGAGGTATATTCGCTATTTCATAATTTTTAATTGAAAAAATAGACGAAAAAGACTTTTTGCATAATGAAATGTGAAAATAAAGATAAAAATGTCAAAAAATGAAAGATATTAACGTTTTTCACAATAATGAATATTATGTACTAATTACCCTTTCAAATGCTTTGCTTTATTAATTCCTCAAGCTCGTTGTATTATTGACTGACATGACTTTGAACCCTTCTCGGACGCAGACGCGTCCTACGTGCAAAGTATCTATCTGATTCTGACCAGACTAAGCTTACACACGCCTGCATTTCCCAGAAAATACAGCCAATCATTGACCCATCGGCTACTAATTTTCCCATCCCATTTCTATTGTCCGTACGCTTCTATTAATTTCAAAATTTAACAAGAACTTCTCCTTTTTCTTCACGAGGGATTTTCTGCGAACTTACCAGAAATTGGGTTCTATAAATTGAGAGGCTTATTTTCTTTCTTGTTCTTTGTTTTGTTTTCAAAGTTTTTCATTTTTTCCTTTCTTCCAATACGATGTTAATCAAGAAATTGGTGTCTCTTCCTTCTCGTTCAGGACGACATTTGCAGCGTTACAATCATGGTTGTCGTCTAGTTGTTGGGTATGTATTCTTATTCTAAAACTCTCTTTTTTGGTGGGGTAAGACAATTGTTTCATGTTGGTATCTGTTTGTTTGATGGTTTATTTTCTTTTTTGGGTATTCTTAGGGAAATTGAAATAAGGGTTATGGGATTTTGATTCTGAAAAAGATGAATTTTAAATATTGCCTTATAGATTTATCCTCTTTATTTCCAAATTTTGTCAGATGTATTCCATACAGATACAGAGAAACCAAAACATCACCTCCAATTCATGGAACCTTAATTGAAGAATTGGAAGTTCTTTTGATTACCTCTCAAAAGAGTCCAAGGATGATGTTCCCAAAGGTACACTATCATATGCATATATATTGTAAGAATGATTTCAAGTCCTTAAAAAATGTTTTGTTCACATTGTCCATTTTGCAATGAAATCATTAGGGTGGTTGGGAAATTGATGAAGATATAAAATTGGCAGCTACACGAGAGACAATGGAGGAAGCCGGTGTGGTCGGCACCTTAGGGGTTAGTACCTATTGTTCTTATCGACTACTTTTCTTTTTTAATCATGTCCAGCGTTGTCCAATCCAGTATACAAAACATGACCAAAAGCTTTATTTTGCTCCATTGCATTTTCTTACAGGATAAATTAGGCGAATGGATTTTCAAGAGTAGAAGCCAGGACACATTTCGTGAAGGCTATATGTTCCCTATGCTGGTCACGGAGGAACTTGATGTTTGGCCAGAGAAAAATGTCCGACAGCGAATATGGGTGAGTTCCCTTGTCAAAGTCTGTAATGCTGCTGTGTAACGAGTACTGATGTCGACTATAATCTTGTTTCACAGATGACAGTCAATGAAGCTCGGGAAGCATGCACACATTCATGGATGAAGGAAGCTTTGGATGCCTTTTGTTCATCGATTCACGCCTCTGCAAATGAGGAGAAAGAATTCCTTTAGTATAGAATTTCAAGAGAGCTAAACAAGGAAAGGAAGAAATTGATTATTGCTTAGTTAGCTAATGGGGTGCCATCTTAGCCAAGCAGGAAAGGATTCATGTAGCTCGACCCTTTCCAAGAAACCACGTAAGGAAGTTTGATAATGTGGACTTGTTGTGAAGGTAGGGAGAGCCTGTAGAGGAGATGTACAAAATATTGAAGTTAATTCTTTTATGCATTGAAATTTATTGATTCTTTCATAATGGTTTTGTTGTCAAATTTGAACTTGATTCTTGTGTTCATTGAAATCCATTTATTCTTTAGGATAGAATTGAGATGGGCAATATTGGCGGGTCTGTTGGCTCAATTTGATCCTCAAATTTGGAAGATGATCCGAGTTTATAGTCGGAAACATATTTCTAAAAGGATCTGTTTAAATTCGTAATGGATCTTAATTGAACTTGGTTGTAGATGGGTCAGTCCAAACTGGTCCACCCACTTTTATATCCCTATTCAAATACGGGAAAAATTCATAAATAAGGTGTATTCTTTACACAAATTCAAAAATCGAGTTTATAGTTTGAAAATTCAAAAATCAGGTTATTTTTTATTTATGAAAAAATAAATTATTAAATCAATTTATTATTAAATATTTAATTCTAATATAATATAGTTAACTCATCCCACATGCACCATCCATTCCGCTCCAGGGACTATTCGGCTACCATTCCGACCACCACTCTTCTCCGGCGACTGTTCCAACAACTGCTTCGATTCCGACAATTATTTCGACGACTATTCCGACAACCATTCTGGTCACAAATTTACAATTTACGGTCACAGTTAAAAATTTTTATAGGTCACATTAATTCGTTGGTCACAGATTTCAAAATTAGTTGGTCACAGATCAAAGTTTATAAGTCACACAATCATAAATTTCCAAATTAATTGGTCACATATTTTTTTACGGTCACAGATTATAGAATTTTAAGGTCACAGATTATATTTTTAGTTACAAAAAACCTAAATCACCACTGCCAACAACCACCACCACCGTCCTTCCTAGAT